TTTCCTCCTTAAAAATGTATTTACGCTTATTGTTGTCTAACAATATAGAGTATATGATAAGGGTGATATAACTTTTGTTTCCCTGAAGCATATATGACTTCATGTGCCCAATGTTCTATTAAAAATGACAATTTAGAAATGTGTCATAGACACCAAAAAAAATTAGCTAGCAGTTGTTGCCCTTAATGCAGAGAAACTAAAGCAGATACCTTAAAAGCAACTGAGACCAATAGGAAAAGGGGACCAGGAACTAGAGAAAAGGTTAGATCAAAAAGAATTAACATAGAAGGTAACACACATGCACAGGAAATCAATGGGAGTCAATGCCCTGTATAGCTATCCTTATCTCAACCAGCAAAAACCCTTGTTCCTTCCTATTATGGCTTATACTCTCTCTACAACAAAATTAGAAATAAGGGCAAAATAGTTTCTGCTGGGTATTGAAGTGATGGGGGGGAGAGGGAGGGGACGGAGTGGGTGGTAAGGGAGGGGGTGGGGGCAGGGGGGAGAAATGACCCAAGCCTTGTATGCACATATGAATAATAAAAGAAAAAAAAAGAAATGTGTCATAGAAACACAAATATATTAACTTTCTGTAGCAATGCATTCTCTTGACCTATAGTTATTGAACTAATTTTATAGTGAATTAAAACATTCTGATACATCCCTAACAGCATTTCACTAATAGATAAACCAGCACAACATGAATAACTCATATAACAAGTGTGTTCTTTTCAGGGTTCCCAGTGGATGGGTCTCTGCAGAGACACCTTGGAGATGCCATGCTCTCTGAAGGGTCAGTGTGGAAAACAGAGGAAAAGAACATCTCCAGTAGTCTAACCTTGATTCTATAACGAGAAACAAAATCACACTCCCCAAACCAGGATGTCCTAAGCTGCCAAGACACATGGACCACCTTGCCTTCTTCTCTGGCAAAGATTGGTGCTTGAAGCAACTTGACTCTCCCAGAGATCCTTTGCAATGTGGACTTCTTGGGGTGTCTGTTCAATGCCCATTTGAAAGTACATCTGCTATGATACCCTTCTTTTCTGATAACATTTCAAATCTGAACAGATCAGGACTGCTCAACTCAGAGCTGAATTATGAGGCAAGATCTTGGTCTAGCCATGTCATCGTGAATTATGCCCTTTCCAGTTCATCTGGTGATTACAGGCATTAATTCTCAGCTCTGTGTGGAGGTCAGGCGTGATTCTGAGTCCTTTCAGATGTTTCTTTTACTAGTCTTGGTAGTCTCTTCATATGCATGCATTGTTCACTTTGCAAGATATTCAAAGGAAACCCCCTAAAGATCTCTTAGGTTCTTTGTCTGTGTAACTGTTTTCTCTGGTACTCTGTCCTGTGATCTCTAGCTGCTTTTTCTTGACTAGAGTCTCACCTCCATTTCTCCAATAAAGGAAGTCTTCTGAGCTTCTTTTGTGTCACAACCTGGGAACTCTTTCAAGGCAATAAGCAAAGGCAACCGCTTCTCATCTCTCAGGGACAAGTGTCCTTTCTTGATCAATATTTACTTTCTTGGAGACTGTTGTTTTAAATATTTTGTGGGTGTCTTTCTGTGGAGATTTTATTTTAGTTTGTTTGTTTGCTTGCTTGTTGTTGCTGCTTCAGGTGGGAGATAAACCAGTTCCTATTATTATTCCACGTTAACCAGAATCAGAAGTCCTTACTCATTACTGGAGTCACTAGCTCTTTTGAGCATTTGGATCATTGTTGGATATCCTGCCAACATCTCAAAATATCCAAACCTAACTTTCTTATTATTTTTTACCTCAAAACCACTAGTCGTGCTTTCCCTACTTCTTTTTGTAATTCACACACAAATCTAGAAAGTTGAGTCATAATAAATTCCTTTTCTTTCCTCTTTATCACACAACATAATTGTCCATATGAATACAGTATCAATTACATGTGTCTTTAACTCTCCCTGTTTACAATTATTGTCCCTACTGGATCTCTCCTAACAGGTTCTCTAGTCTCTAGCCTTGTATCCCAACACTTCCTACATCTCAGTATCCTGAAACTTGATCCAGTAAGATCAACTTTTCTCTGAATCACCTATACTTTTGATCCTTACTCTCCTCATTACTCACTATTGATTAAATCCTACCGGCCCCATATAAGGCCCTATTCAAATGTAATGTTCATTATGAAGCCTTCTTTGGTCCCCCCAATTAGAAATGATCCCTTTTAGCTTTCAAGTTTATACCTTCAGGTATAGTCCATATCACATTCTGTCTTAACCACAGAGCCTAGAAACCTATTTTCCAAACCCAGTGTAAATTTCCTGATGGCAAGGACTGCCAAAGAGGCCTCTAAAAAGGTACTGTGCCAAGTTCAGAATAACTGTAAATCTTAGAAGTTTGATATTCAAAATGTTAGCCAATTTAATATCTAATTCATGAGAAAATCAACTAGTACATATGTTATTTTTGTGGCCAGTAAAAAGGATAACATGTTATTTAAAAATTTAGTGAAAACAAATATATAACCTACAGATAAATTATAGAATCACAGATTTTTTACATGATATTTCAAAACTCTTCTAGTAATAATGTAGAAAATAACTCCGATAAATGAAGAAAAGCATACTTTTTGGTTCTCTTAGACATATTTTCCAAGTTTATGTGCCTGAAACTAAGCTAATAAAGATTGGTAACGTCACAGCACATTACTCAAAAGATAACTATAAATTTACAACAACCAGTATGTATATATTTGCAACAGAAATCCTACACCTTAACTGCCATCAAACCTCATTTGAAGAACTGACCTGACATCCTCTGTCACTAGCTGTATAACAGTGGACATGTCACTATACCTTTGATCCTCAGATAATTTAATAACACAATATGAAAAAGTGCCTAGCATAGAAGACTGTTATGAAGCTTACAGAGGACATCAAGAACACTATGTAGAGTCAATTCATTGTCATTTGCTTATTCATTCCACAAATGTCTATATCCGGCCCAAAGCCTGGGCTAGGCGATAGGTGTACAATGCCAAGCAAGATGCTCCACCTGCACTTAGCTTCAACTCAGGAGATAGACATGAGAAGAATGTGGTATGGCCGGCTCTACGTTGTAGAGCTACAGACCATGCTGAGTGGGAAGAAGAGGCAGGACTCAGGTCCTGATTGAGAAAAAAGGAAGGTAGTTAGGAATGGCTTGTGCAAAGAAATTATGTTTCAGATCTCTGCTTGTCCTCTGTGGGCTCATAACTTGTTATAGACCCCTTACGCTTTCCTTCGTGCACCCTTTAACAAAGCTGTTTTTCTTTTTAGTTCTACAGTTTCTTACCTATAATCCTAAGATCTGAAGAGTTCTCAAGTCCTGCACTTTCTTTCTAATTTAGTTGGTGCCAAAACCTAACCTGAACTGATGTAAGGCTCTTGATCATCAAGTTTTTCCTACTTGTCAGGAAACCCTGGTAAATGATTTCACCATCTATGCTAGGAATTGTATCATTATTGGCTTCTTTTTCTCTTTCACCTTCCAAAACTGACCAGTCACCAAGCCCTGTCAATTCCAGCTCTCAAATTCTGTGTCTGATCCATTCCTTGTTCTCCATTCTTTCTTAACTAAGGCCTTCATTACTTTGTGTCCTCCTACCTCTCAACAGTGCTCCTCACAATTAAGCCCCCATATCACGGCAGCTTGCTCCTTCTCAAACAGATATCTGTTCATGCCATTTCCTTGCTTAAGATACTCTGATGTCTCTTCACTCTCTCCAGGGGAAGCTCAAAGTTCTGAGCTTGGTTTAAAGTTTGCCAAGGCCACCTATCACTCTATGAAACATATGTTGCAGCCACATAGAAATGTGGTTCCCAGGAAGCCTCTATTCTACTGCATGCCCCACTGCCTTCACACAAGCTTTCCCTCTGTCTCCAAATCCTCTTTTTTCTCTCACCTCAACCTCTAGGTCCTGCTCATCAACCTGGCTCACTTATCAGTAAATGTAGAAAATTTCACCAGGCATCTTGCCTTTGTCCCATGCAAGACAACACTGACCATGCTGTCTCTCCTTTGTACAGTGAGTTTCCTGAATGCTAGGTGCATTATTATCAAATTGTCCTAGACCTAGCACATAACAGGTGCTCAAAAATCTGACTGAATAAACAATCTTTTCAACTTTACCAGGCAATATCTTCCACTACTTCCTTATCAGTCTCCTACCACAGCAGCTCCATTCTTCACTCTTACAACCATCCTTCCATTAGTGTTTCTAATTTATACCTTCCTTCCTGCTTCACTGTCAGAAGTGAAAGAGGAAGCATTTCAGTAGTGACAGACCCTAGGCCAGGGTCTGTCCACTTTGGCACTGACAACATTATGGGCTGGATAACTCTACATTGTGGGGGCTGCTCGGTGCATTATAGGGCGTTTAGTGTCATCACTGGTCAAAATGTCTCCACACATTGCCAAATATTTCCTGAGAGAAAAATATTCCCTGATGCAAAACCACCATCCTTGACTGACTTTTCTTTAAAAAGTCAAAAAGCAACATGGTAAAGCTAATCAATGGTACCCTGCACCACTATCATCCAGTTGACAAATGAGGAGGAAAGAGAATCCAGACTACATCAGTGGTGCTGTTTAGGGAGTGGAAGACCAACAAAAGCAGGCTGGAGTGACACCTCAAGGGAGGATAGCACTCAGTGGGCCTGAGATGATCCATTGTGTCATAGGACCAGAGTTCCAGACTTCAAATATATTTTGTATGACAATTTTTCTGAAACTTGCTTTATTCTGTGCCACCGAAATGACCTGCAAGAGGGGCACAGGATGCAGCAATTTAATGCTATTAAGCCCCCACCTCAAAAACTTTTTTTTGAAAAGGAATCCATATTTAAAAGTGAAGTATACAGATTGAAGCATTATACTATAAATAGAAGGCACGGGAGGAGTCAAATAAGTAGCATAGGAAACTAGAAAGGCTGGGGGCTGAGAAAGAGGGCAGGGACAGCCACTTGGCACGGCACCCACCTGTGGTTGACACAACGTTCTCAGGGCTTTCACTGCAGAGTTTTGACAGCAAGCTGGTCTTGCCAGAACCCGAGAGGCCTATGCAAACCAGGTCATATTCTGGTCGTGCAGGTGGTGGTCCCTTGCAGCAAAGCGCTCTAAAACACTGCCAAGAGATAGAGAAAATATGGTTGGAAATAAACATTAGTAACATTAGAAATGACTAGACAAATATTAAGTAACTGGGTTAACTATCAAGTATGAGGAAAAGGGTGACATTAGAGTGGAGAAACCTAGACAACACTACCTTAACCAAGTGATTAATGCTTCCAATCCCAGTCATGAGACATATGGACGCACTGCTTCTCTTCCTGTCACAGCAAGGGCATGACACCACCGGGCAACATTCCCACCAACATACATCACCTGAACCTAACCACTAGGAAACTGGATAAGGCCAATCTGAGCATCCTATAATATTACTGGACTGCTTTCTAAAATATCAATATATTAAAAAGTCAAAATGAAGGACCCATTTCAGGTTAAGAAGATACAATATGAAATGCCACATATCTTAGATTAGATTCTGAATCAGGATGGAAAAGGTGCCATTAATGACATTATTGGGACAATAGTGAGGACTGAATATAGACTGCATATTAGATAACGGTGTTGCATAAGGTTAAATTTTCTGAATTAAATAACTGTAATGTGGTTATATAAGGAAAAACCATTGTTCTCAGAAAACACACACTAAAGTACTTAGAGGTGAAGGGTCTTGATGTCTGGAATTAAATGGCTCAGAAAAAAATCTAATCTCTCATTTCCATCTCCATCTGATGAGGAGCATGATAAAGCAAACACTGGAAAAATCTTCACTGGTGAAGATGAATAGGAGCCCATAGAAAATTCTTTGTTCTATCCTTATAGCTTTTTTTTCAGTGCATTCTAGGGCTTTGAAGCCAGGCCCTTGTGCATTCTAGGCAAGCTCTTCTTCACTGAGCTATTTCTGCAGTCCTTAGTCTTATAACTCTTTGATATCAATTAAAGACAAAAAGTTTTTAAATCATTAAACAGAGTCCATGTACATATCTCTGCCTTTTTTGACCTTTGTTAAATTCTGTTTCGGGTCCACTGACCTCAGGATATTATGAACAGCAGTGTAGTTCGGGTACCACACAAACATGTTTGCCATGCATGAGTAAAAACAAGTGCATTTGGGAGACAGGGTATTATTCATGAAGGGTTTGATCTTTCGATTTATCCCACATGCATTTACTGGGGGCAGACCATGTGCCAGTTTTGTGACAGCTTGAAATATTTAGGCTCTAATGACTCAAGAGAGAAAGAAGGAGGGTAGGGAGGAGACCGGGAGGGAGGAAAGAAGGAAGGTCTACTAACTTACGGATCATCTAGAGATCATGAAGGAAGAGACTTACAAAACGTTTGTGTTGATTCTTCTCCTTCAGATAAAATCTGAGTCTTAATTGGCTATCATAAATCAAGTTTAAGTATTTCTCTCTTGCATTTTTTCACATCTGATCAACAAATCTGGTATACAGAGCATTTGAAATGGCTCTAGAATCCACTTCTCTCCAGCCCAGGCCAGCATCACCTGGACACCAACATTCTCCCATCAGTTCCAGAGTGAATTTACTCTTTCTTGCTCTCTCTGTTTTCCACTCAGCAGTCAGTATTTTTGATTATAAAAAGAAAATTTGATTATATCTGTTTAATCTGTTCCAGTGACTTCTGCCTGCTCTTGGGCCCAAACCCTCAAGGCCCTCATTGACCTGCTCCAGTCAAGGCTATCAGCATATATCACTGATCCTAAAACTACACTGGCAATTGATGTCAACCTGTCCCAGCATGTTTGTGAATTCATCATACAATTACAGTTTCTTATTCATCACCAGGCTTTGGAACCAAGTCTGTCCATCTTTATCCCAGTATCCCCAGTGCCTGACAGAGAATAGGGTACAGAAACTACCCTCAATAAATAAATGTTGGCTGAAAATGAATGACATTTATATTTTACCTAGGAAAAGAGAAAATACAAAGGCTAATAGCACACTTATCCTATGCTTTCTGGGTCCATCATGCTTTAAGAAAATGGTGTCAAAATAAGAGAAATTCTTGACTTTTCCACTTCATGTCAATGCGAGAAGTTACCCTACTTCCCTAAGAGTGGTTTTGATGAACAAGATCTACTTTCTTGGTAGATTTAGAGCTTCTTTTTGCCTAACTTAATTTTCCTCAGTTTTTAAGAGGTTCAACTGACTTCCAGTAAACAATTTTTATGATCCATATTCTACACGGATTTATTAAACTGTAATCACATTTCCTCTCAGTCTTTTCAAGCCTGAGGAGTCCTAATTATTTCAGTCTGCCTTCATATGGCAATCCCTCCTACCCCTTCATCTAGTTGTTCTTCTTTGGCCTTACTTTAGTTCCATTATGCCTCTTCCTACAAGATTAATGACCACAACTGTAAACAGCCTTTTAGATGCCAACACTTCTCATTCAGGATTCATATGAAGACTGGCTCACATTGTCTGACTTTCACAACCTTTTTCTCATCCATGAGAAAACAAGTCTCTCAGACAGAGTTTTTACCAGAGAAAGATCTATGTGTGTATACTTATATATTCATTCCCTTGAAGATAGCTCCTGGCTAGCAGCTATTCACACATAGGAGAGGTCTTCCATGTTCAATTATGACAGGCAACATTACTACATAGCTTCTCTTACTGGTTTGCTTTGGGTCTTGTTGAGGGAAGTGGAGAGAGGCTCCATTCATGCTCTAGAGATCACCATTTTTGATCAGCTCCTGTGCCAGAATTCCTCTGGCCTAACTTGGACTGTAGGGCAGAGGAACTGGTCCAACTAACCTGGCCCAAACTATCATAATTTAAAAATACAAAATGCAATTATGCTATATTATCTTTTAAAAATTGTTCAGAGACCAATATTGGTCAATACATTTCAGCCCAAAGTTCCAGAATTTCCTTTTCATACACCCATTAAAATCCATAGTATAAAAACTTTGTACCTAAGCCCATCAGTATTTATACCACCTGCTAATTTATTTCAGGACACCTAGGTCACGTAAGACATAAAAAAAGCAACCGAGCAATGATATTCCACTTCTTCCTTCTATATATTCTTCCCAGTAATGTCATTCCACTCCTACGATTCCAATCACATAAAATGCAAAGACCCCCAACACGCCAACTTCCCATGCACAGCTCCACCACTTTCATGAATTCCTGTCTGTGTAATTCTAATTGTTCTGGAAGAACTCAAACTAAATCTTAATAAATCAGAAACCTCCCTCCAAAACTCAGGCTATGGAAAAAAAGGCATGTGGGAAAATAAAGCTAGATTGACAGTTATTAATAAAGGTAGAATCTTTAAAATAAATCACAGAATCTTAGCAATAAATAAATCTCATGGTTAACAAGAAAAGTGTCATGTTTTGAAGCAAGAGAACTTTAAGTTTGTGCCACTTCAAATGAACGAAAATGTTCACGTTTTTTTGAGTTAGTTCCTAAAAACTGTACAGAGTTTCATTTGTTTTTTGTTTTAAAACTTAATGGAGATTTGGATCTTATAGTCAATTTACTTAAAATTACTCATTTTGGCCTCTAGACTATACTGTACCCAAGTTCATTGTGTTTGTCTCCTATAGCAGCTCTCGCATTGTTGAGAGTAAGCCCTTTTCACTGCTGTACAATGCAAGACACAATGCTGTCGGCAGTCCTGACAGTGAGCAGCAAACTCGGGCTTCATTCCCAGGCCAGACACTGAGGCTTTATGTGAGTCCACTCAAGCCCCATAAACCTATCCATGCTTCAATTTCCCCATTATTAACCAGTAACGTTTAACACTATCTGCCACTTCCTTTCTTCAGGAGGATGTTACAAGGCATGGGTTCAATGCCTTACGCTACTAAGAAAGGTGCCAGACAGGCAAATAACTGTCTGTCATGATGTTCATTTTCCTAAGGTATCTTGGCTGCTGGTTAGAGTCCTTGGGCAAGGTCCTGGCAGCCCACAGCCCAGATTGGAGCACATTCCCTTGTATCAGATCACAGCAATCTCCACAGCTCCCAGTTCAACACGAGATGCTAAACACACACACACAACCTTTGGCCTCAGATTGCAGCAGGAGCTAGAGAACAGAGCCAGACTAAATTATAATAATACCCTCTGTGGGGCAGCCAAGGTCACAGTCTCCCTTGCCTAGACTACCTCAGTTCATGAGTTTTTTCCCACACAGTCAGTATGACTTGCTCCTTTCTGGAAGAACTCAGGGCATCTACCTAAGCCAAGGCCACCCCCTAGCATGCACACACAAGTCTTTACCAATGTTGCATGTGAGGAAATGGTTCTAAGAGAGGGCGAAGGTCAGAGCTATCATCAGTGATAACTGTGTTGTAGCAAATCACCTAATCGTCTGATCCTTAGCTGAAATATGGAGTAGCTATAATGCAGAAGCAAGCATAAACAATAGGAATATTTGCTTAAAGAAGGAATGTGATCACATGTATTAGGAATGAAAAAATCAGTGGTGACTCATGTCTATAATCCTAACAGCTCAGGCAGTGGAGATCAGAAGAATCACGGTTAGAGGTCAACCTGGGCAAAAAGTTGGCAAGACTCCATCTCAACCAACAAGCTTGGCATGGTGGGGTGCACTAGTGATCCATTATGTGAGAGTCACAGGTAGGACGATCATAGCCTGAGGTCAGCCTCAGGCACAAATGCAAGACCCAACCTGAAGAATAACTAAAATGAAAAAGACTGGGGCATAGTTCAAGTGCTAAAACACCTGCCTAGCAAGTGCAAGGCCTTGAGTCAAACCCAAGTTTGAAAAAAAAAAAAAAAAAACTAAGATTGCAAGGATAAAATGAGAGTTTGCCATTTCATCTGGTGACCCTGCACCGAACCAGCAAGACCATTTCAAAACTGTCCTCATTACTGTTGGGGACAGTGTCAGACATTTGGCAAGCCTGGCAGAACATCAAACTCAGTGAATTTCTCCTCAATAAGTCAGTACCTTAGAGCACCAGGTAAGCACTTAATTGTATATTTCATTTCCCTGCACATTTCCACCTTCATGACTCTAACTATCCATATCACTCATTAGTCTCTCAAAGTCTTA